GAATTTGATCAATAGTTTCTGAGTTAGTTTACTTTTGTGGTGGAGGATTGCACTGGTCATTATGGAGAATAGGTCTGAGAATATCCTGGAGAGCTGGTTTAGTTATGGCAAATTTCTTCGACACATGGATGCCATTAAAGTATTTAATTTCTCCATCATAAATGGAACACAGTTTAGGTGGATACAGGATCCTAGGCTGCAACTTATTTTGTTTTAAGAGATTAAATGTTGACAACCACCCTCTTCTTGCCTGAAAGGTTTTGGCAGAGAGATCTGCAATTATTCTAATATTCTTCCCCTTGTAGGTTATGGTTTTCTTCCGTCTCACAGCTTTCAAGATTTTCTCTTTCATATTCATTTTAATTATTTCTCTTTCATATTCATATCATTTAATTATGATGTGTCTGGGGGATGTCTTATTCGGGTTGTGTTGTGCTGGGGTTCTGAAGCTGTCCGCAATCTGAATTTCAGGATCTCTTGACATATCTGGAAAGTTCTCTTCCATAATTTCATGAAGAAGAGCCTCTGTGTTTTGTGAAGCAGCTTCGTCGCCTTCAGGGATTCCAATGAGGCGAATATTAGTTTTCTTCGAATTATTCCAGAGCTCTCTGAGAGAATGATCCATTTTTGCTTTCCATTTCTGATTCTCTTTGGACGTTTGGACATATTCAGAAGCTTTGTGTTCTACATCTGGGATCCTTTCTTCTGCCTCCTGCACTCTGTTACCAATAGATTCTACTGTATTTTTCAGATCTTTGATGGCTGCAATCTCTTGTCTTAATGTTTCAAAATCTTTGGTGGTTTTGTCTTTGAATTCGTTGAACTCTTTTTTTTTCTTTTTTGAGACAGAGCCTCAAGCTGTCCCCCTGGGTAGAGTGCTATGACATCAAAGCTCACAGCAACCTCCAACTCCTGGGCTCAAGAGATTCTCCTGCCTCAGCCTCCCAAGTACCTGGGACCACAGCTGCCCGCCACAACACCTGGCTGTTTTTTGGTTGTAGCCATCATTGTTGTTTGGCAGGCATGGACTGGATTTGAATCCGCCCCCTTAGGTGTATGTGGCTGGCGCCTTAGCCACTTGAGCCATAGGCACCAAATCGAATTCGTTAAATTCTTGAGTGAACTTTCGGAATGCTCCTTGAATTTCGACTTCTATCTTTGCCTCTATTCTGTTTATCTTATTTGCAATCCAAATTCTGAATTCAATTTCTGACATCTCAGCCATTGTTTATAAAGGGAATCTTCAGTTTCATCTGCAACCTCCTTTCTTGGGGGGGGGTTGACCTACTCTGGTTATTCATATTACCAGCCACATCCTTTCTTGGGGGGGTTGATCTACTCTGGTTATTCATATTACCAGAGCTTTTCCACTGATTCTACCCCATGATTATTTTAGCCCGTTTGACTTTTCCCCTTGAAGTTTGTCAAGGACCCATATGGTGTTATGGCCTGAGAGACTGGGGACCTGCTTGGTGTGGTGGGACTAAGTGGCTCTGTCTTATTTTCAGCTGGTTTCTGTCCTACCCTAGTGATTCAGTTACTCTTGGTTGAAGTCTCTGCTATGGAGAAATACCAGCAATTAGGTTGCCCCGCCCCCCCGCAAATAATTGGGTAAGGAAAATCAAACCTTACCTCAACCATACACCCAGGGTGCCCCTTTGAATAGTCCCTAGGTGGTCTGCCAGGTTTAAGGGATCCAAATCAGTTATCCCAGTCAACACCAGTTTCAGGTGGAAGAGTTCAGATGTCTCCGGCAGCTAGATAAGAGGGGTCTGCTCCCAGCTTAGATATAACTTGCTCCAGTGCTCTGTGAGGGCAAAGGGACCCACCCAGCAAATGGGTTAGTCTGGGAAGGTTAATACCTCCTTCCCCACCTTTTACCCAGTCACTCATAATTCCCCAGGTCTGTATCCCTATTCACTCCAGTAGGCAACTGCTCCTGGGGTTTACAACTGGCAAAATCAGCAAGAAATCTGAGTCCGGCAGGGGGGTCTTGCGTGTTTGAATTAGGCTTCTGTCCAGCTAGATGCCTGTGCAAGTCAGAGGCTGCATTCAGCTCTGGGCAGCAGACAAATAGCAGTTTATACTCAGGTGTCAATTCCAGCCTCTGCCTGCCCACTGCCTTTGTCTCAGCTGTATCACCCTGAAGACTGATGCTAATAGTCTCTTTACTTATGAAAGTTATCAGCGTTTTGCCTGTGGCTGCTGTCCAGAACCTCTGGTTTCCCAGAGAGACGGGGCTGGAATGGTGTCAGTTTGCAGCTCAGGATGCCAACTGTTGGTGTATGGCTTCCTCCAAGCCAATTTTCTTCTCACGCCTCTGCTACAGTCAGCACAGAGCAGCACCAGCCCTTTCCCCCTCCACTTCTCTCGAGATGCCCAAGAATCTGGACTCCATAGGTAACAAACCTCCAGACCTCGGAGTGGGTGGGTAGGGACTCCTCGTAGTTTAATATTGCAGGTGCGGAATATATACAGTTTTATACAGTTTTACAGTTTTATGCTTGAGAGGAGGGTGCCGTGACATGCCAGCAGGGGTAGGAGGTCCAGTTTTTAGGGGGTCTCTCCTGTGGGATAGAGTGGAAGTTTGAACTCTGCTCGCTTGTTTGCATGGAGTAAACTGCGAACCCTTCTTGTGGGGGAGGGGACACCCATCTGCTTTGTGGTGGATTTTTTACCTTTTGGTTGTATTTTTAGGGTCGCAGCTCCCCTCAGGAAGTTTCAAGTGCACTCTTCAATCTTGTCTTTGGCTCTACTCCGAACCATCAGCTACCTTGCTAAACTTCTGTCCTTTAAGTCTCCTTCTGGACAGGAGCTTCTGTAAAAAGCTGGCTGTAGTCTCAAATTTGTGTTGTTTTAAGCTATAGACTTTGTGATAATTTATTACAGCAGCAATAGGAAACTAATACAGATTTCTGAGAAGATCTAAAGCCATATTTCAGGAACAGTTAAGAACTGTTTCTTGGGCTCGGCGCCTGTGGCTCAAGCGGCTAAGGCGCCAGCCGCATACACCTAAGGTGGCGGGTTTGAATCCCCGGCCTGGGCCTGCCAAACAACAATGATGGCTGCAACCAAAGAATGGCCGGGTGTTGTGGTGGGCGCCTGTGGTCCCAGCTACTTGGGAGGCGGAGGCAGGAGACTCGCTTGAGCCCAGGAGTTGGAGGTTGCTGTGAGCTGTGATGCCATGGCACTCTACCCAGGGCGATAGCCTGAGGCTCTGTCTAAAAAAAAAAAGAAAAGAACTGTTTCTTGGCATTTCTCTTATTCAGAAACTTAATGTGTGTATTGATGAACTGTTGTATTCAAACATCTAATAATCTTTTTTTATGCAAATATGCTTCTATTTCTCCACTGTTTCTCAGTGACCTACTTTTGGGTTATCTAGGTCCTAGTCAATAAAAGTAGTCTATATAAGAAGTGGCCCAATAAGGTGAAGCTTAAAGGGAGGGTAATTTTGTTCAGTATAAGGAAGAATTTTCTGTGAAAGCCATTCAAAGGGAGAGTAGGTTGTATTTGAAAGTTTGTGTGGCAGGATCTAGATGCTGAAATACTAAAGATAGTATTCATGCATTGCTTGAGGTATTGGACTAGGACAGATTTTATGGTTCTTAAATCCTAAAACCTGAAAGGATGTGAGGAAAAATATTACTAAGGACTCAGAGGTTCTTTTGTGCACAGCTGTGCAAATTATGCCTATACAAAATCTCCAGCTAAAGTAACCAATGGAATCCAGCTCATAGTTCATGTTGGAAGACTTACATTCTACCTCTAGAGCTTCTGTGCCCTGATGTAGAAGCAACCTTTGGCTAATTCATATAAAGGTATTATCTACTTGATAAAGAAGGCCTGTATTCATCCAAAGAAGGCACTTTTATTCCTAATTTTCACAGAGGTGCTGGATGGGCTAGCACAAACCCAGCACTTCTAAATGGTGCTATTGGAAAATTCTCCCACTTGGTATATTCTAAAAGCATATCTAGTTGGGAAGAGAAACTAATAAATGAACAAACTAATAAGTCTCTGTATTTCAGCACTAAATAAATACTATGTCTTTTGGGAATTCATAGTATAAGTTAGTAGCAAATGGAGAAAGCAAAAATCTAAGTATTGGAGATTATGAGGAGAGGGTGTGTCCACTCGAGATGTTCACAGAGAAGGTAGAGCATCTCCATCTGATTTGTAAGTCTGGTCATTTACCCAGATATGTAAGTATAAATGATACCAGTGTCCTCAAAGGCACAGGAGATATACATGGGCACCTAGTTGAAGCAGTTTTGTAACTGGATGAAGAGGGCCTGACCATCTGTCACTGTCTAGCCAATATGCAGAGACAGGGTTTTAGGTCCAGACAAGCTTTATTTTTAGAAGGCCAGCAATTCTGTAGAACAGTGAGAATAGCCTCTCAATTCTGTTCTGTCTCAGTTACAATTCTAATAACTTTTATAATGAAATATAAAAGTTATAATGAAATATAAAATATAAAAGTTTTGTAGGAAACCAACCTACAAAATTTTAACTTTATCTCATAGGAAGTAACATCAAAGTAGTCTCCATTCTAACAATGCAAAATGTTTAAACAACAGAAAGGTGATTTTTACTTTAACAGAATATCTAAGAGAATCATCAGAGAAAACATCATATCATCAAAGTAACATTTACTCTGCCAGTATCACAATACCTATTGTCTATGTGTGACTACTTCCTCAGTCTCCCGAGGCAAACAAACATCCTTATAATCATGGAGAAACTTTAATTAGATAATCATGGAGGGTGTGTGGGGAAGGAGGAGCAAAGTACGTCATCTGTACTGCTTCCGCTTAGCTTCTCATACTCCATCTTACAGACAACTTTTCTGGCTTCAGTTTCTGCATTCCTAGCTGAGTCTCAACTGGCCAAGACTGTCCTTGATGCTGCGGATAGTCCAGGTTGCTTTCTATATCTGGAGGTGGCTATGGAGCTGGACAGCATGCAAATTTCTGCCCTGTTTGTGTGTTCCCCAGATGTCCTTTGAGATGAATCACGAGACCCTGTACTTGGCAGTGAAACTGGTGGATCACTACCTAATGGAAGTAGATTGCAAGAAGGATAACTTACAACTCCTTGGTTCTACAGCTTTTCTGATTGCAGCAAAATTTCAGGTGAGCCTGACTTCCTATGGCCTGGAGAGAACTAATCAGATTTCTAACTAAACCATTGAATGGGTATTTACAACTATTTGTTGCATTACAATGTTTTGGTCAATAATGGACTGCTTATAAGACCATGGTCCCATAAGATTATAATGGAGCTGAAATATTTCTATGCCTAGTGACATTTTAGCCATTGTAACATTGTAGCACAGTGCATTACTAATGTGTTTATGGTGATGCCAGTGTAAATCAACCTGTACTGCTAGTCATATAAAAGTATAGCACACACAATTATGTGCAGTACATGATAATCGATAATAAATGACTGTTCCTGGTTATGTATTTACTATGCTATACTTTTATTCTTATTTTAGAGTGTATTCCTTCTATTTATAAAAAAAGTTAACTGTGGCTCGGCGCCTATAGCTCAACCGGCTAAGGCGCCAGCCACGTACACCTAAGGTGGCGGGTTCGAATCCCCAGCCCAGACCCGCCAAAACAACAATGACGGCTGCAACCAAAAAATAGCCGGGCGTTGTGGCGGGCGCCTGTGGTCCCAGCTACTTGGGAGGCGGAGGCAGGAGACTCGCTTGAGCCCAGGAGTTGGAGGTTGCTGTGAGCTGTGATGCCATAGCACTCTACCCAGGGGGACAGCTTGAGGCTCTGTCTCAAAAAAAAAAAAAAAAAAAAGTTAACTGTAAAGCAGCCTCAGGCAGGTCCTGCAGGAGGTGTTCTAGGAGATAGCGTTGTTGTCATAGATGGCAGCTCCATGTGTGTTACTGCCCTTGACGTCCTTCCAGTGGGACAGGATGTGGAGGTGGAAGACAGTGATATTGATGATCTGACTCTGTGTAGGCCTACGTTGAACTGTATGTTTCTGTCTTAGTTTTTTTTTTTTTATTTGTGAAATGGTAACATTTAGTTTTTAAAAAGTTTTTTTATTAAATCATAGCTATGTACATTAATGCAATCATATACTACATTTAACAAAGTATTTCTAATCTAGGGCTATAGAGACATTTAGGAGAAAATAGCTTGGTGTAGATGGTAGTGAGTCTAAATGAGCAAGGAGGAACAAGAAATGGGTGAGAAAGGAGGCCATGGAGAAAATAGAGGAGAGAGAGAAAGAGGTGGTCCAGATGAAATAGTAATTTTGGAAGTAGCAGTATAAAAGCAAGTAGCTAGCTTTTTCTTCATGACTGTAATCCATCTTGGTAACCTCTCTGATTCTTTCTCTCTTCCCAGGTGCTAATGTATCTTGTTCAACTCTCATTTTTCCTTCAGCTGTGCTAGTTACATAAAACCTTATGGTATGGGAGCAGAGAGGTAGCAATTTTTGCAAAGGAATTCAAAGAGCTTTAGAACTATGGTTGCCATGGCTTTATTTCTGTGTTGGCTCCTTCCCTTCCTCTGTTCTCCCCCCACAGGTTCCCTGGCTACTCCCCCCTGCTCACTCTGTCCCTCTTTCTCCTACTGTCTCCTCTGTTCCTCCTTCCCTCTTTTCCTCCCTCTCTCCTTCCCTTCCTCAGATTTCTTGCATTCTTTATATTCTTCCTTCCCCTCCTATCTTCCCTTTCCTATTTGTTTGCAACCCCCTTACTCCCCTTCCCCACCTCACCCACTCCTTCACTGCCGTCCCACTCTGGATGGGCCCTTTCAATTGAGCCCTCCCTCCATTGTCTCATCGTCCTCATTGGCCTGATTACTTTTACCTCCTTCCAAGCTTCTTTCCTTGCTTGATAGCTCCCTAGCTCCCTCCTTTCCTCCTTCCCTCTTCCCTTCTTCCTTTCCCTTCCTCCCTCATCTATGTTCCTTCCTTTCTTCCTCCCTCTCTCCCTCCCTCCCTCCCTTCCTCCCTCCCTTCCCTCCCTCTCTCCCTCCCTGTGCATCCTCCCTCCCTCCCCCCCTTCTGCCCTCTCACCCTACATGATCCCTCACTCAATGGATTCCTTTCTTCCAATTTGCCTACTCCTTCATTTCCTCCATGGCTGACTGGCATCCTCCCTCCCTAGCTTGTTTACTCTCTAACTCCTTTCTCTCCCTTGCTCTACCCTTACCTCAGTCTTTTTCTTTCTTTCCTGCTAGCTCCCTGACTTGCTCCATTTCTTCCTCCCTAGCCTGTGGGACCCCTCTCACCCTCCACCTTCTGCTCTCACCAACCCTTCCTCCCTCCTTCCCTATCTCCTTCCTAAGGTTTCTCTCTGAATAGATACCCCCTCCTGTATCTCTATTCCTCCTTCCCTGGCCCTTATTCTTTCTAGCCTGCTGACCTTCCTCTGTCACCTGATCTTTCCATTTCTACCTCCCTTAATCTCTTTCTTTCTCTCTCCTTTTTTTTTTTCCATGGCCTCCTTTCTCACCCATTTCTTGCTCCTCCTTCATGACTCCTTGCCACCTCACCTCTTCCCTTGTTCCCTATTTCACCTGCTCTATCTCTTCCTTTCTCACTTCCCTGTATGGCTCTCCTTATGACTCAAAGACATATCCTGTGCCTTAGCCACAGGAGTGTTAAAGAATGCAGAACTGATAGTTTCTGGCCAAGTGAAAGGAGAAGGAAAGTTGGAAGAATAGAGGGAAAGGGAAGGAGGGAAGGGCATATCTTAGCAAATCTTGGGACTTTGAGTACCCCATCTCTGTTGGCCAGGATGGAGGGCCATTGTCAGTCCTATGGAACAGGGGTAGAGAAGGGGTGTCTTCTCACAGACTTTTATAATGGGAAATGGGAGGATAGAATGAAGAGAGAAGGGAGGGAGCCACTGGGGAGCAGAGCAGTAGAAGGGAGTTGTTCTTTTCCTGGTGTTATACTAGCTTGCTGTGCGAATCCGAACATAACACTTCTCTGTAGGCCTCACTTTTCTTGTCTGTAAAACCAGAGGGCTTGGTCCAGTCCATGATCTGAAAATGGAGAGAGAAAAGGAAGGGGAAGAAGGCTGGGGTGGATAGTGAGCTGCAGGTAGGGAACAGACTTAGGGGTTTTCTTGCCTCTTCCTCATCTCCCTAAAACCAAGGTTTAACTTCCAGAAAACAGGGTATCAGAAGGTGCTCCAAGGACAGTGGTTCTTCTCACCTGTGGCCCAGCCTCACTCTTCTCTGTCTTGCCCCCATGCACATTTGCACATTCTCTACTTAGGTTCCCTCTGTGTCTGTCTGCCTCAACCTCCTTTCTCTCACTACCTGATACCAGTATTGTCCTCTTCAACATCTTTACTCATTCCTTAGACTAGAACACAAATTACTGGCTCATTTTCTATCTCTAGCACCTTTTTCTGTGATCTCCTTCACTCCCTCTCCCCAAAGCAAGACAGACTTCCCAGAGGGCAGATTGCTGCTCTCGGGCCCAGTGCCCTGTAGCTTCTGGTACTGTATGAATCCACTCCAGGAGGGTCCTCTCTCTGGTTGTGGTACATTTTTGGGACAGGCCATGCCTCTGCATTCTTCAGTTTTGTTTTTCTGATAAGCCAATCAGATCAACTAGCCGCTGGCTCTTAGATGTACCCTGATGGCTTATGTCAGGAAATCTGATTGCCTCTTAGCCTTCACCCTTCTCCCTACTTTTCACCTCTAAGCAGAGAAAAGAAGGTTGTTTGTCTGGTTGTTGACTGCATCTCTCCTGTTTGCCCATAGGAGACCTACCTACCTTGTATGGATGACTTCCTGTACATTTGTGATGATATGTATAAGCGAGATGAGATGCTTGCCATGGAAAAAAGCATCCTGAAAACCCTCAAATTTGAAATCAACATTCCTGTTGCCTATCATTTTCTGCGAATATATGCTAGGGTAAGAGGGAGGAGACACATCTTCATTCTCCCACTGCTGAGTTAGTTTCCTGTATACCCAGAGTGGCTACCTAAGTGATAGGAAAGGGACAACTCAGGGCAAGGGAGTTTTCTCCTTCCATCCAACCTCCTAGGTTAAAGGTTGGCAATCTTTATGAAGTAGCAAGGGTTGGGGGGGCAAGTTGCAAATTTCCATGGTGTGCCTATAAGGTTTTGAGGTGTGGGCAGAGTAGGAGAGGGGGAAAAGGGTTCTCTGATCAGAAAAGGGCACATGGAAAGTTTTGGGGGGGTTGCTGAGAATGTTCTCTTTCTTTGCTTGAGTATTGGTTACAAGGGAGGTCATTTTATAGTTATTCATTATATTCCACAAGTGTGTTATGTACTTTTCTCTTTGTGTGTATTGTAGATTTTATATATATATATATATATATATATAATGTGTATATATATATATACATACACACACACACACACACACATATATATATATTTTAAGTTTAAATGGGAAAAGAGAAAGGGTTATTTTAGAGTATAGAACCAGTTGCAAAGTCACAGTTGGAAAACTTGGGCTTTTCAAAGGTTGATTCATACAGAAAGGAGAGGTGTGAAGGTACAATAAATACACTTTATAATTTGATTAAAAACCCTAAAGATGACAAATCTGACTGCCCATTTCAGAACCTCCCCCCCCCAAAGAGTCTGTTTTTACAGATGGGGGATTAAGGGTGAATCATAGTAGGAAGAGAGAGATACATTACTCAAGTACAGAGCCATTGGCTTTGGTTGAGATAACTGGAGAGAGAGTCTTCTGCTTGGTGCCAGTTTTCTGAATTGCTTTCTGAACCGGTCTTCTTGCTGCTTTTAGTGTGTTCATGCCAGCATGAAGACGCTGACCTTGTCCCGTTTCATCTGCGAATTGACCCTGCAGGAATATGACTATATCCAGGAGAGGGCTTCCAAACTAGCTGCTGGTTCCTTCCTCCTGGCCCTCTACATGAAGAAGCTTGAACATTGGGTAAACACTGGCATGGGAAGGATAGAGATTTAAAAGCATAGGGTGGGCTCAGGGAAAGGTATAATTCAGGCTATGGGATGTTCTCAAGGACAAAACTGCCATGTGCTCACAGTTATGAATTTTTTAACACTTGGACAATTTAAAGGCAAGGGTTTCTACATCAGTGTTTTTTTTTTTTTTTTTTTTTTTTTTTTTTTGAGACAGAGCCTCAAGCTATCCCCCTGGGTAGAGTGCCGTGGCATCAAAGCTCACAGCAACTTCCAACTCCTGGGCTCAAGCGAGTCTCCTGCCTCAGCCTCCCCAAGTACCTGGGACCACAGGTGCCCGCCACAACACCTGGCTATTTTTTGGTTGCAGCCATCATTGTTGTTTGGCAGGCCTGGGCTGGATTCGAACCTGCCACCTTAGTTGTATGTGGCTGGCGCTGTTTACTTTTATTTCACACACTCAGTATACTGTGTTATCCCCATGTTAGTTCCCTGCTCATCACACCAATGACTGCCCTTTTCCTGTCTCAGTGGTTTCTAAACAGTAGTCACAGGAGCCCTGGGTTTCCTGTAGAAGTGTCTCAGGACCAGTAAAACATAAAGGGATCCAAGTTTGTGGGCTTATTAGCTCTGAGCCCCCTTGCTTTAAGGTAAGATATTTGGGGTTACAGGGAACACACTTGAACAAAAAGGAGTTCGGAGAAAATAATTTAAGACATTTTTAAGAAACCATTGGCTTAGAGAGTAAATTCACTTTCTTTCTCTGCCTGTTAAGCTCCCACTTGATTTTTGTCACTCATTGAAGACATGCCTTTCTCTGTGAAGCTTTCTGTGATGCTCCTGGCTAGAGATCATGGGTCCTGCTGCTCTGTTGCTTCTGTGTTCCATGTTCACTTTAATCATGGCACTTATCACATGTTTTGAAACTCTACGTTTTCATGTCTACCACCTCTAATAGACTACTCCTTAAGAGCAGGTGGCTCATTCATCTTTGTATCCCCAGTATCCGTCACACATCTTGGCAATATTGATCCTAGTTAGCATAATATGAACATTTACTATGTGTTAGACTCTGTTCTATGTGAGATTATATATACACAGAGGGTGCCAAAAATGTATACACATTTTAAGAAAGAAAAAATCTCTATTAAAATTGTAATACTCAATATATACGAATAACAAAAGGTGACTGAAAGTCACATTGAGCACCTCTTATAATCTTAGAAGTCAGTGTATATACACATACACACACTCTTAATCCTGTGATGTAATTAATGTAATGATCCCCATTTGGCAGACTGAGAAACGGAGGCCCTAAGAGGTTAAATAACTGGCTCAAGGCCATGCTGTTAGTGAAACTAGAATTTGAACTTAAACAGTTTGCCTCCAGAATCTTTGCTCATAAATACTGCTTCTGCCACATAATAGGCATTCTTTTTTTTTTTTTTT